CTTTCAAATGTGAACGCTGTTTTGTGTTGGTCTTCCGGGTGCATCCGTATTTGGTGGTATCCCGCCTTGAGGTCCAGCGTGCTAAAGACCACGGCCCCACTCAACCTATCGAGTATATCCTCGAATCTCGGGATCGGGTACTTCTCATCTACCGTGTTATCGTTCAATTTACGATAGTCTACTACCACCCTGTATTTTTCCTTATTATCCCCCGGCGCTGCCTTCTTTTTCACCGCCCACAGGGGACTATTGAATGGTGAGGTGCTATCAACTATGATTCCCTGTTCTTTTAGACTATCTAGCTCCTCCCGAATATGCTGTCTCAACGCCTGCGGGTATCTTCTCTCTTTCACGTAAGTTACCCTCTCCTGTTTCAGTGGGATTTCGTGCACCGTCCTCCCTGTTACCCCTAATACCTCACCTTCCCTGAAGAAGATATCCCTAAACTCCTCTTGTAGCAACTTCCTCCAGTCCTCCACTCTGTCCACCGCTCCTATCCGCACCCTTCTTTCTCTCGCGACCCCTATACATCCGAACTTCCTCTTTCCTAACCTAACGCTCCAGACTCCTCTACGATTTCTAATGCTCGCCCCTACCTGACCTAACAAATCGCACCCTACTATGACTTGGTATTCCCGAGTCATGTTCTCCACCACATGCACCGTTAGCTCACCCTCTTTCCCTGTCCACCGATCAAGCCCAATTGTCGCCTCACCCTCTACACTACAGGGACCACCCAGAGTGATCAGCTGGCAGTCACATTTCTGTATCCGGAGTACCCTCTCGCTCCCGCACCCTTTTCCTAACGCCCTTCGAGTCATAATAGTGCTCGAGCTACCCGTGTCCACAAGACACTTTACTCCCCCGTCTACTTCGATAATTGGCAACCAGCATGGCTTACCTCGGATGTTGTTGCATATTGCTGTGCGGTCGCCTCTCTGCCGACACACTCCTCAGATGTCGTCCCGCTTCCTCCTTTCTGCCGCCGCTCGTCGCTGCTCACTCCGTTGGCTGCGCCTACCTCCTTCACCTCCGCTGCTGCCTGGTTCGTCCGTCTCCGTTCCCGACGCTCCTGACTCCTCGGTTGCCTCCTCCGAAGATCCGTCCCGCTGATGTACCCTGGCTCGTCTTTTCATCCTCTGCACATTCACCTCCATGGGTTCGTCCTGAGGTCTCTCCCTCCTGTGAAATATGTATGGGCACTGCCTTGCTATGTGCCCTTCCGTCCCGCACTCGAAGCATCTGGTGCGCGGACATTGCGCTACTAAATGTCCCGGCTTCCCACACCCGTGACATTTTCTCTCTTCCCTCCGGGGCCCATTCCTCGGCCTCGAAGACTGTCCCGATCTTCTTTCCCTCGTCGGGGCTTTTTCTCCACTCGGCTGCCTTGTGTCCCTCTTCTTCCAACCTGTCGGGGCTGTCCATGGTCGTCTATCCGTCACTCGGGTCCAACCCGGTTCTTCCACATCCATCCGTGTCTCCTCCTCTCTGGCACTTAGGTCGATCATCTCCTGGGCGCATTCGAGGAACGATCGCTCTCTGGGCAGTCCGTCCCTCTTCCCCGTTTCTTTAGCCAGCTGGACTTTCAATATTGTCGACAGAAACTCCATCCTGGCTTCGACCTCTCCCACGCTCATTGTTTCCCGCATCTTCTCGGTTATGCGATTGTACTTCGCCACGAGTACTCCCGCATATTGCCCCCTTGACTGTCGTTGGGCCCGCCGCTCCCTAAACATTTGGAATATGTCCTCTTCCGGTGTCCACCTACCTCCTCCAAAAGCCTTCTTCAGCCGCTCCTTAATCACCGGCCACGGAGTCTCCTCGTCCGCTTGGATCTGGTTCAGGACGTTCCTCCTTACTCGGCACACAAGAGCTGCTTTTAGTTCTTCCGCGTCCCCTAGGTTCACCAGGTCCTCCGCCACCTTCACCTCGATTCTTGACATAAGACGATCTCCGCGTTTCAAGAAATGGTTGAGCTCGCCTACCTCGCCTCCGAATCGTTCTAGGTCCGCAATGGCCCTCCGTAAGTCCTGCGTGGTTGTTGCTCTTATTTTCATCCATTCCAAGGCATTGGCGTGTGCTTCTGCCAACGTGTCCCTTGGTAATGGAGGGATCTCCTGGATCTGAGGGATCTGTGCTACCTGAGGGACTTGAGGTATCTGAGGTACCTGAACCTGAGGCGCGATCTGGGGTACCTGATTGATCTGTGGAATCTCCTGAGGTTGAGGAATTTCCGGTACGCTTAGTACTCCCGGTCTAATCAATCCTTCTGTCGGCATTTCACCTTTTCCTTAAACACCAAACAAAAAAAAAATGTCTACTAAAAAAAAATTACTTCCCTGACGTTGTCCCGGGTTTCGGCACCAGTTAAGCGTCGTCGGACTTAAGAAATAAAAAAAAAGAAGGAAAAGGGAAAAGATGTAACATACACGACTTCTGAAATAACACTGCTTTATTCGTTCCATAAGCCTCCTTATATACACTTAGCCTGTTTATTTACATTACCAGATAGTATTAAGGCTGATACCGCCAGTCTCCGGTCTTTATCTTATATATATTACAACATGCCATACAGATAAGTTACAAGTTTATGGTTGTAGTAACTTTACACTTGACATAACAGTGGTTTGAATACTGCTTAGAAAATTTAAATTAATTTTTTACAGTAGGAAAAATCTCATAAAAACCTACATAAGATATAAATGAAAAAATTATGTTACAATCATTAAAACTAGTGCAAGAAAACTAAATATAATTTATGTTCAAAAGTAAAATATATATTTATATAAAAAAAATAATAATAACGTTTTTAGTTTCTAAAGTATTAACAATTTATTTTCATAATATATGATCCACATGATATTATTTCAAATCAATTAATAATCGAGATACTTAAACAGTAATAAACATTTTTTTTTTTACTTATACTATTATAAGTGTCCTTAACTGAGACAGATTGTAATATTTCTCAATAAAATGTTTTTAAAAAATAATAATAATTAAATTTGCCCATATTAGGCTGACTCTGTTCATTATTAACTCTCACACATCATTAATTCTACATAACAAGCATTATTATAAATGAGCATTAATTTTTTTCCAAAATTATAGATAACCAAAAATATATATTAATTAATTAAATAGCAAGTAAACTTTCATTTCAACATGGATCTTTACTATGTGTGTGTCAAATACACTTTCTTGATAATACAATATTAATTTAATAATACACGTTTTTTCCTTATATCATTTGTACTTAATATATATTAGGGAGTAAAAGGAATGTTCTTCGACTAACATACAATTTACTCTACTATATTCAATTACAACTACAATTGATTGACTCTATTCATTATTAATTCACACAAATTATTCATTATAATTCACTATTACAGTAACCAATGTGAACTCAATGTTTATGTACTGTGGGCCAAAAGTGGTGGACAGGTTTGACTTGTTAAGTAAATAATAAACTTCCATGTTGATTAAAAGGTTCCAGTTTTTTCTATATTGAAGAAAAATGCCTTTTATTGACAACTGTACAATTATTATGGAACCAAATTTCCAAAAGAGGGCTTTTAAATGTCTATAATGTTCCATGCCTTCCTACTAACAGTTTAACTAAGAGTAAATTAAACATTTATGTTATCTTATTTTTATAGTTAAATAAAGAGTTTTCCGAGGTTTGTCTATTGCTGGTACTCCCTACCCATTACTAGAAAAATTGAATTTAGGGGTAAACTCACTTACCTATATATATATATATATATATATATATATATATATAGTAAGTGAAAGCGATCGTTAAAATTTTCGAATCTCAGTTTTCAATGAAAAAATATGATTTGAGGTCCTTTGAGTCGAAATAACCAAGTCCCATAAAATGGTTTGTGTGTTAACGGTAAAGCTTAAAAACGAAAATTCGTACAAAATTGAATTACATATTCAACTGAAATATGCTTGGGATGTTACAGCAACTTTTTCGACGAAATCGGATAACCGGCAGTGGCACTTTATATCATGGACAAACACATTTTTACAATTTTCTCAAAAACGGCTCTAACGATTTTTCTTAATTATATCAGTGTAAAATTAAGCAGTTTTAAATAATATGTAGGTTTTATTCTGATTGATGTTCTCTAGCAGGCCTTAAATGGCTAATTTTCAGTATTAGCTTCCCCGGAGTATGGGTATAAATAGTTGTAATTCAGGAACCAAGGAATACTAGCGCACCCGAGTTCGCCCGAAAGATTAGAACACGCTTTCATACGTAATATGAGCTTAATACAATAAAGACTGCGACAATATTATGTAAATATACATATGCAGTTTTCATAAATGGTATTGTTGGCATTATTTAATATTTAATTGTATATATTACAGCTATGTAAATGGTAACATTTATATATTGAATAGAATAGAATAGAAAATAATTTTACCCTGGAACAACTTTAGAATAACAGAAAAGTAGAAAATTAAAATATTACGGATAATAAAACGAATACAAAAATAAAAATAAAAAATAAGATATACAAGAGTACTTAATTAAATAAAATATATATAAGAAGAACAAAATATATAAGCGTACTTATACAAATAAAAATACCCATAATGAAATATAAATCAATAAAGCATTTATAATTTTTAGTTTGTCTGAAAATACTTATTTCTGTTAAGTGGAGGGTGGTAAGTGAAAGTTGCGTGATGCACCGCACACGATTTTTTTTTTAAATGAGATTATAACTGCATAACTGAATATTCTTTCAATTTTAAAGTGTTAAATAGAAAAAGGAGACTCTGAAGATTCTAAATGTCAACCGGAAAAGTTTATAACTTCAATAATTACGGCGGTATACGCCAAAAAAGACAAAACTTCTCTTAGCAATGCCCATCGCGGGTGCGCTCATCCCACTGTATAATAGGAAGTCATACTATAACATTTATAACTTACTATTACCTTATCACTACAGTTTTATATGGAAAAATGTAAATTAATAAAATTACAGTATTACCTCATGAGAAAAGTAGTCAACGCATATTATTATATGAATGAGTGGAGACACGAAAGATAGCAGCCAAATCGAAGAAATTAGACTCAAAGTCTCGACTTCGATAGCCATGCCATAAATTGTGGAAAGTATAAGGAGGTATACGATGACAATGTAGAAGAAGATCTGTGGTTCGTAAAAGGTATTCACCTTCTGACACACCGCTAGTAGTTTATCGGTCAACTTGATGACCGTTTCACTCTCTTCGATCGTTCTTATCTCCCTGAGGATGGAAAGCATGACTTGGACCAAAATCGCATACTGATTAATGACGGATATCAGAGCAATGAATATCATGTTGTACAGTTGTTCTTCAGGATTCAAAATGTCATCCAATATATCCCACAATGTACCACTTATTATCATGGCTGTTAGACTTAAATATTTGGTACACCATGCTGGTTTGTAAAACCAACAAATGCCACTCTCCCACAAGATGTGTTCTATGTCCTTAAGCTCATCGTACAATTCCTTAAAGAGTGACTTGTTTCTTATCAACCAAGCTATGTGTATCCAATAGAACATTATGGCTGGGATGGTTTGAAGTGCAAACACGATTTTCCCACCCATTATGAAATTTTCATGTATTGAAAACCTATATAATAATTCGAATCCAAAAATATCAGCCAAAAGATACAGAACAATGCCTTTGGCTATATTAAATTTCGAGATGTCTGAGTATTCGTTGTCAATCGGGAACGTACTAAACACTCTCGAGAACTTGAAGATGTCTTTAAAGACCATTTCTACCTTTTCGATAGGGTACTGCTGACTGGGTGCTGCGGTTACCATATTCCTTCTACGAGTATAAAGAAATGCTTCTCGTAGATAACTCCTCGATTAGACTGGCCAGAAGGAGTATTATTGACATAACAGACAGCTATCGATTTGGGATATGTTTAATATGAAATTAAATGTAAACATTCTTTGTATACCCTATATTGCGGCACAATTATCCGCACTTTTAAGATGGTTCAGAAGTTTCAAAAACGATACTTGTATGTATTTAATCTATTAATACTTTTTTTTCTGTTAGCAATATACAGGTTGCCATTGATAGTCGCCTTAACTTGCCTATTCCATCTCTGCCTATCTTGGGCTATTTCTTTCCAGTTGTCTTCATGGCAGCTCTATAGCAACTTTGTTGTTTCGAAATATCTATCCGCTTTTTGAACTTCCTCGTGGCCTTTTGTCTATTGTTGAAACATTCAGTGTTGTGTAAGGACTTCCAGATGGATTGCTCCCAGCTATATATCTCGATCTTCACCTTCGTGCCTTCATATCATTGCATTGATTGACCAGTTTCTGTAAGCATCTCTTCATAGTGATTCTTATCCATGTGTTAACATTCTGATCCCAGATCTCCTCGGTTATGGTAATAATTACGAATTCCCATCGCGGTGTTTTAAGGTCTGTTAACTCATTACATTAATCCTCTGCCCTTCCCGAGGAAAAAAAAAACAACAAAAAGAATATCTTTTTTGATACAAAATCCATTTGATATAAAGGAATCCCTTTAAAAAATAACAGTACATTTATATGATAGACGTTTCCAGAACTTCCATATATATAAAATATAATATAAATTAATAGGTGTGTAAATTTAGTATTTAGGTGTAAGTAAATTAAGTTGGTAAAGGTACGTTCCTCTACCGAATCATCAACAATCATCGTCCTTCTTACTCTTGCAAACCATCTCTAATTCAAATCATTAGTCCATTCCCTTTCACACAAGATCTCGACCTTCTAACCTTTACATGCCTCCTTACAGATCTGGCTCATTCCAAAACTCCTTTATTTCTCGCTCTGTCAATTTCTAGAATTCTCTCACTACCCAAATTCGACATTTGTCTCTATATAAACATTCAAAACCCTCCTATTCCAATTCCTATCTCAAAAACAGTAAGATAGTTGCTAACCATTCGATAAAATACATTAATTTAATGCAATTAATCGTCAAATACCAACGCTGTTCTTTGCAAGGAAAATTAGTTTTCTTATAGGGTAAATATTTTCCTACTCTTGATGTCACTGAATGCATCTATTGGTTGTTTATAACTATTATCTTTAATACATCACTACATTCTTGCCTATCGTTATGTTAATAAATGGTGATGATGTATTTATATATTAATCAGCATTTAAATATAATGTATTTTTATATTAACCAGGCACTTTTTATTGTCAGGTTCAGCTTTCTCTTTTCATAACAGAAACACAAAGCTTATTTTAATCAAGAATTTAATATATTTTTTTCTTTATTGTTTTATTAAAATTGTATAGTTGTCTATCACTGCAAATAGTTTTAAGTGTCTTTTCATAGTGTTAATTGTTCTGTATATAGTTTCGTTTATTTTTTATATAGAATTACCTTATATTTTCTCTACATTGTTTCTTTTTACTTTCACTTACGTATATATGTAAAATATAGTAAGGGTAAGTATTGCGATCGTGAAAATTTTCGAATCTCAGTTTTCAACTGAAATACATGTTTTGAGGTGCCCTGAGTTCAAATAACCAAGTGTCGCAAAATGGTCTGTGTGTATGTGTGTGTGTGTGTGTTAACAGTCTAGCTCATAAACGAAAAGTAGTACGAAACTGATATTAAGTATTTAAGGTTTGTATATGGGCCGGATGTGACATCAACTTTTTCGTTAAAATCGGCTAACCGGAAGTGCCCCTTTATATCAACGCTGAAACACATTTTTTTTCTATTGCTTTTATTTAGGCCAGATGGAATTTTTTAATTTTGTTCTGTTTGGCTATTCTCAAGGGACTTAGAATAAAGTTACTTTCTATTTATCTATCTAAATTGAGAAATAACAAAACTTAGTCTGTAATGAGGTTTTTTTTTGTTTTTCTTGCCTTATAAGTATTAAGAATTGTAAGAACTGTGGGCTACTAAGCAGAGTTTATCCCTATCCCAGTGCTTACTAAAGCTCTTAATTATATTAAAATTCGAAATTTACATTCTATATTATTGTAATCGTAGAAATAATAAAGGGTTGGTATAAACTGTGGTGTAGACCAGTGAACAGGACATATAAGACACAACTGTCTTCTACTTATTCTATCCATTACTGTAATTGCTCATGACCTATTTGATTGGTGCAGAAGAGAGCCTTGTTTAGTAATTCTCTAACTAACTAAGAATAAACCATAGAAGTCTATTATTAAGAGTAGAGCAATTATTCTCCTAAATAAAGCATTTGTGGACATACCTTCATAGGAATTTTTTCTTGTTTTGAAGTCCTTAGTTCATTTTTGCGATTTGGCCACTTAACCCTAAACCACAGTGTATTTAAAATTTACTGATGAAAAAAATATAACAATTGAATTCGGTCTCACGAACTCTTGTTCTATCTCGACTCAAACGGCCCGATGTACAATGAAACATTACATTTTTATTTAACCATCTAATATCATTCAAATCCATGAAATTTCTAATTATTACTGCTTAAAATGAAAATAATTAAAAACTGTAGTAGTATATTGTAGTACCTCTTGATAAAAATATCCAACACACATTACTATATGAACGAGTGGAGACATGAACGACAGCAGCCATATTGCAGACATTAGATTCAGTGTCTCAAATTCGATAGACATGCCATAAAGTGTGAAAAGAATGAGGAGGTACACGACAACAATGTACAAGAAGATATGTGGTTCATAAAAGGTATTCACCTTTTGGCAAAGAGCTAGTAGCTTATCACTCAATTTGATAACCGTTTCACTCTCTTCCATCGTCCTTATATTCCTCAGAATCGAAAGTAAGACGTGCAACAAAATCGCATACTGATTAATAACGGAGATTAGAGCAACGAATATTAGGGTGTACACTCGTTCTTTAGGGTCCAGAAACTCTTCAAATATATCCCAGAGTATGGCACTAATTATCATGGCCGTTAGACTAAAATATTTGGTACACCATTGTGGTTTGTGAAACCAACTGATACCGTTCTTCCATAAGATGTATTCTATATCCTTAAGTTCATCGTACAATTCCTTAAAGAGCAGCTTGTTCCTTACCAACCAAAGTAAGTATATCCAATAAAACATTATGGATGGTACGACTTGAAGTGCATACACGATTTTCTCACCTAGTGAGTAATCGTTGCATATTATAAACCTATAAAGTGATATAAATGCAAAAATATCAGTCAAAAGGTATAATGCAATCCCTTTGGCGATATTTAATTTCGAAACGTCTGAGTATTCGTAGTTTATCGGGAACGTACTAAGTACTCTGGATAGCTTGAAGACGTCATTAAGAGTACGTTGTACTTTACCCATGGTGAGCTGGCATATTAGTTGTATTATTCGACAGAGAATTCCTTTACGCAGAGAACTCCTCGATTAGACTGACCAGGGGAGTTATTGACGAAACAGACAGCTATCGATTTGGGACATGTTTTCTCAAGAAATGGAAAGAAAACATTATGTGTGTAGCATATACATCAATTTGGTGGTATCCTTCGAACTATAGTTAATAGTCCACACTACATTACAAATAAAACCTTATACCATGACCTCGTGGAGAACCAAGTGGGCAGCCAAGCAAGAACTCACTATTGCACCAGGCTGCAGCTTGTCATATTAACACCACATGACATAAGCCTTTCCCTCAAAAAAGAAATAGCTCTTGGAATGAAAAAAGAAGTATCCATATTGAATGAGAACCCACCGAGCGAATTGAAGGAAATAAAAGATCAGTGAAACATAGTCCACCTCGCACGCCCTATTCGTAGAGAGGAATTTGTCTCAACTAGACAAATGATAGGACGTTCAAATCTGACACATTCTTATTTGATAGCAAACAGCAAATAGCAAATAGCCAACAGCTTGCACAACACTACTACGTTACTCACACATTCTCCAAGAGTGCCCACATTACGTATTGATTCTAACCAAATTGGGACGCGCAACAAAACTATCCGTATTTTTAATAATGACGAAGGTAGAATAAACTTGGTGACAAATATTTTAAAGCTATCGATTTGCTAAACAAAATTTAAATTTGAATTCTTTCTCATTTTATTTTATTTTGTTTCCCCACTACTGAAGTTAGGAAAGCATTGTATTCGTGCGAGATGTAAAAAAAAAAAATCAGGTGTTCAGAATCGAAAAATTCCACTCGTGTTTTACGTTTCAGACATCAAGGATCAAATTTGGTTCGGTATCTGTCTGTAGTCAAATCGATGTAACGGGCATATCATCCACTACCGTTAATCCGATTTTAATGAAATTTTCAGGAATTGTGCGAGTTAGTTTCTAAATTTTTTAATATCATCATCATCATCATCATCATCATATGTGGCACAACATCCCGTTACCGAGACTGGGCCTCCTCCAAGAGCCTCCGCCAGTTGGCTCTGTCTTCTGCTGCAGCTCTCCAGTTCCGTACACCAAGCAGAGTTCTCGCATCATAAGCCACGTTGTCCAACCACCTCGTCCTCGGCCTTCCTACCCGTCTTGCGAGGTGCAGCTCCTCCATCATTATTTTCTTGGGTATCTCAACGGTGCTCATGCTGGCCACATTCCCTGTCCACCTTAATCTGGCCAGTTTAATATACTTGACTACGTCGATGTCTGTATAAAGAGAACTGAGCTCCCTATTTTTTCTTTTCCTCCAGACATCACCCTCCTTTACTGGACCATAAATCCTTCTGAGGACTCCTCGCTCAAACACACTCATCCTCATCTCATCGTTTTTAGTCATCGTCCAAGCCTCTGAGCCATATGTCAAAACAGGCCGAACAAGGGTCTTGTATATGATCAGCTTGGTCTTC